AGGATCTTTTCTGTTCTGGAACAGATTGGCCTCGACTGATCATAGTAATTTTCATACTTCTAGTAGTACACAGTTCGTATCTCTCACCACTAATCTATTATACAATTTATAACTTATTTGAATTCACAACATTACAAACTCGAGTCCTCACTTGTTAAGACAGGAACTGTTTTCAAAGACGGACAAACGTAACGCAACATTGCATTCAATTCCGACCAGCTTTTACATAACAAAGCATTTTCTACAAACATCGCTTAAGAGATCTCAAGGATTTCTTTGCTCCAGCTTCACAGAACAAAAAGATTTCTAAAAACATCGCTTTAAAGATTTCAAGGAAATGTCAGGGTACTCTTTTTTTATATATAAACACGACGATCCAATATCTCCTAAACAGGACGCTGTTAAAATTTAAGGAAATCTATCTCCTATGACGACCTGTAATTTAGCGGAAATCTTTGTTTGCATTCAATTCCGGTATCCACACAACAGCTCTTACGGAACAAGGAATTTTTGTTACACAAATCGCTCTGGAGATTATCTCCTAAACAGGACGCTGTTAAAATTTAAGACTTCCATTTTTTCTAAGAATTGTTTTTTTCTGCTTCATCTCATCTGGGATTGGCTGATGCAGTGAGGTGTTACAAACCTTCTTTGAAAAACACAGCATTTATACGGCCCAGTTTTAGCAAGATATTGCATTTTCTCAGAAGAGAGAGCAGAAGACGACCTATAATTTAGCTTCTTTGAGAAATATTTGCTACAGGTTTGTGATCAGTTTATTCTTTTACGGGAGGTAGTTTAATTTCATCTATTATTCAAGTTTATCAAACGTAGAACTGATTTATCGTAAGGCTGATTTTGACATAAAATACCACAGTAAGAGTTCATGGACATTTCTCCTACCTGCGTCAGTTTCGCTGTTGATTGGTCTTGATTCGCTCAAGGGAACATTTTCACAGTTTCACTTTTAATATACGAAGGAAATGTTTCTGTTTTTTTGGGTCAAGTTGAGATGAAAGATAGCAAGAAAAAATTTGCTTCATTCGCTTCACAATGCAGAACACTTAATGTTGAAATGACTTGACGGGGCTAGTGAGTTAGTCAGTTTATCAGATCATCATTTCAGAAATCTCAGTGTGTTAAAAAGAGCGATTTCCTTAAAGTTCTCGAGGACTGCGTAACCTTCAGACTCTATATCACCAGTCATCTTCTTTTCAATATGACAGCCAATCTCGTAATTCATGACAAAACCATGTTAACATCCTTCATAAATGCAAACATTTGTAATCATTGAATGTGGGACATTTGTCAGTGAATGTGCTTTGTAGTTTCAATGTGGGCAAATTGGGATTATACACGTTCGTGACGAGCTTTGCTCAAGAAAAAAAATTCTCACCAGGGAAGCGTAAAATGATCCATAGGCTTGTCACTGTAAAGCGAGTGTACTCAATTAGTAAGTGAAAGAGAGGTGTTTGGCTTCGAACATGAAATTAATTGAAGTTGACGATTAAAATGTAACCATGCGCGAGGATCCGCGCGGCTTGCGCTTTAGGAGTGCTACGTAAATTTAGGACTCTTTCGCACAATTTCTCTTTGGAAATGACTACGCAATCATAGCATGAATGACAATTTTCACTATTGCAGAATAATTCAGAGACAAGAACGGCTTAGCTAAGCCCT